TGAAGTTCCATACTCCATAACTCTACTTATCTTAATCGGATTTTGAAGTGGTATACCTCTAAATATTTCTGGTGAAATTCTCTAAAAAACTGCATTCAAATTTAGAAATTTATTTTTTTTTCATTTTTTTGTAATATTTTTGATGTGATGATGTTGTGAAATGAAAAAATGTCCTAAGGCTTAAGTTCCATACTCCATAACTCAACTTATCTTAATCGGATTTTGAAGTGGTATACCTCTAAATATTTCTGGTGAAATTCTCTAAAAAATTGCATTCAAATTTAGAAATTTTTTTTTTTTCATTTTTTTGTCATTTTTTTGATGTGATGATGAAGAAATTCAAAAAAATTAAAAAATGTCTTAAGGCTGAAGTTCCATACTCCATAACTCAACTTATCCTAATCCGATTTTGAAGTGGTATACCTCTAAATATTTCTGGTGAAATTCTCTAAAAAACTGCATTCAAATTTAGAAGTTTATTTTTTTTCATTTTTTTGTCATTTTTTTGATGTGATGATGTAGAAATTCAAAAAAATGAAAAAATGTCTTAAGGCTGAAGTTCCATACTCCATAACTCAACTTATCCTAATCGGATTTTGAAGTGGCATACCTCTAAATGTTTCTGGTGAAATTCTCTAAAAAATTGCATTCAAATTTAGAAATTTTTTTTTTTTTTCATTTTTTTGTCATTTTTTTGATGTGATGATGAAGAAATTCAAAAAAATGAAAAAGTGTCTTAAGGCTGAAGTTCCATACTCCATAACTCTACTTATCTTAATCGGATTTTGAAGTGGTATACCTCTAAATTTTTCTGGCGAAATTCTCTAAAAATCTGCATTTAAATTTAGAAATTTATTTTTTTTTTCATTTTTTTGTATTATTTTTGATGTGATGATGTTGTGAAATGAAAAAATGTCCTAAGGCTTAAGTTCCATACTCCATAACTCAACTTATCCTAATCGGATTTTGAAGTGGCATACCTCTAAATATTTCTGGTGAAATTCTCTAAAAAATTGCATTCAAATTTAGAAATTTTTTTTTTTTCATTTTTTTGTCATTTTTTTGATGTGATGATGTAGAAATTCAAAAAAATGAAAAAATGTCTTAAGGCTGAAGTTCCATACTCCATAACTCAACTTATCTTAATCGGATTTTGAAGTGGTATACCTCTAAATATTTCTGGTGAAATTCTCTAAAAAACTGCATTTTCTTTTAACATTTTTGATGTGATGATGTTGTGGAAATTCAAAAAAATCAAGAAATGTCTTGAGGCTGAAGTTATTTTAAGCTCGTAGTATTATAAGAATATTTTTTATAAATTTGGCCCAAGAAAGAAGATACTTATAGTAATTGCAAGTTTCTTATCTCATCAAATAAATTTTTATAAGCCGACTTTCCAGTTGACCTGGAGGTTGCTAAAGGACTGGTTGTTGTTTTAAGGGATTTACGATAAAGATCATCTCTTGAACTCAGCCACAACATATGTAACTTCTCAGGATTTCCACGGCAACTTTCCGCTCAGGGCTTCTACATGGAGTTTCCTCGACGCACTGCGCAGTTTCCTTCAGTTTTCACCCTCCTTTGATTGAATTCAAAGCTGGATTACCGGGGGAAAGTACAAAGCGATGGGATTCTGTGCAGGAGGAGGGTTGCTTTGGAGTTAAAGACAATCGCAGTTTTCCTTATTGCGTCGCAGCTGAAACTTCGAATAGCCATTTTCCCGATGGGAGTTCCAGTTGGGTGGAAAACTGCATGCTCTGCCGGTGGTACAGTCATCCCTGGCACAGTGCGTCCGTGTTCCTTCCTTCCTTCCTGCCTTCTCACCCCGCCCCTTCACTCAGCCACTTCCTTGCGCGTCCTGCGCAGCATAAATTACGCAATTCACTTTGGCGTCCTTTTTTCATACCCTTTGTTCGTGCGGTAAAAGGGATATACTCTGAGTATTTACTTTACTGTACAGAATCACGGACAGCTCTGTGACTTGCTGCTCCCATAAATGTATAGTGGTAAATATGTAAGACCATATAATGATAATTCAACACTGTAATGATAATTTCCAAGCAGCATAATTTAAAATTCCTTATGTTTTGGAGGATGCGAGGTATTTGATAGTCGAAGAGTACATTTCAGCAAGTTCTTTTTTTTAGCTTTTGCCTGCCTCTGTTTGTTTGCAGCGACGCAGTTTGCGTTGTTGCTTATGATTTATGTGCCGCGCGTAGCGTTGTCACACACACACGCACTGCGAAAGGACACTGCTGCAGTTGAAAACACCCCATGCCATCCATTTTCCTTAACCACCTCCTCCAGAATTTTCAAGAATTACACGCAAATTGCACGCAACACGCGAATCGGGCGATGTGGTCGCGTATGGAAATGACGCGGGAATGCCACTCATGCGTTCCCTTCCCTCCGCTTCGTGTCCGTGTAACTGTGCCTGCATGTGCGATAGTTCCCGTATCCGGCACTCGTTGCCCGTAGTCCGTTGCCGTTGCCCGTAGTCCGTGGTCCGTAGTACGGAGTACGGAGTCCGTAAGCCCAGCCTGCCCCACCAGAAATCCGTGGCATTAAGTCATGCGTCATCCTTGGCGGGGACATGCGTGTAAGCCGGTTATCGGCCGAAAGGCCTGCCAGCAGCAGGACACTTTAAATATCTTTATGCATACCATAAATATGTTCCTAAATGCTAATCCTTATTAAATGCCGGCCCCAAGGAGCCATTCCCACCCAACGAAATGCGTCACAGGACCCAGAGTATGAGTCAGCCTAGAGAATTCTAGGAAACTCTAGGAAATGTTGCGGTTGCGGTAAGTGGCAGGAAAAGGATCAATCACTTCAGCTGGTCAACTTTTCTGGACATTTTAAATATATATATATACTCTCACTGAAGTAAAAACCTAGATACTTTAAGAAATTCCCAAGTGGGTAACAAGCAAAGTATGGTTAGGTGCTTCGATTTTTTCTCAATGTAACTTTTATCCCTTCTTTTTTTTAATGAGAATCAGTCGCCCTTGTAAATCCGAATTCTATTCAAACCTGTTAGTTGATTGGTGGTCATTTGTTAGAGCCCAATTCGCGTTAAAACGCTTTGCTTGTTTTCTTGATTGACGGAAATTGGGGATAACCAGTTTGAAATCCATGAGAAAACCACATAAACGGCTTTACAAGATGGCATTGACTTTTCCAGATTACTTCAGAGTGCTAATGTAAATTAGACCTTATAAAACGATCGGGTTCTCATAAAAGTTGAAAACACATTTTAGGATTCTATCGATCAGACTTATCCCTCTGCATATTGTTTCAAACTTAAAGTCAAGCTGGACTTTGCTGACCTCAGCATCAGCTGGTTGAAAAATTGTAATATTTTATTTTACTTTTTGTATGCTTTTTATGCTTTTGACAACTTTATGCGGGGAAGGGGCGAAAACATTTAATATATGACACCGAGCGAAGCCGCAACTCACTTTTTAATCACTTTTCATGAGCTTTTAATTACACACTTCTTGTTTGGGTTGTGTCGGAATGAAATTTATGAAAAACCAAACGCATAAAATGCTTAACAAGCTCCTGCTGCCCAACCGCAGGACATACACACACACACACACACAGGCACACACACGAGCGAAAATAAAATGAAAAAGTGTTTGTATGCATGCACATATGTGTGTGTGCAGAAATAAAATAAAAATATCCCCACTCATTTCCGTTATAATAATGTGTGAAAGGATATTAATTATGAAACAAGCGAACGGCAGGAAGCCCGGGCAATAAAAACAGCAAGCGACAGGAACACCATGCGTGACCAACAATAACAACTACAGGAACATCCCGAGCGACAACAACAATATATGGCGACTCGGTTATATTGTATTTTATATGAGTTGGTCGAAGTACACTCGCGGAAATAGGGGAAATTCGACAAAACCCGAATTAAGAGCATACAAGTCATGCATTAATGCTAAAGAAACTCATCGAACCAAAGTTTACAATACTTAGTATAAAGATATATTAAAATTTCAATTAAGTTACTGCTGGCAAACGTAAGTTCTTGTTGAAATATACAAATATGTTTCCTGCAACTTTACATGATTTAATTATTAAGCAAATATACAAGCAATGCAATATTTCGCTCCGTGTAGAGTGGGCGTAGATGGTGGGTTAGATGAGGTGAGTTGTGCCGAGCTGTGTTGAGTTGGGCGGAGCGGAAACGAGAGCAACATGTGCAACATGTCGAACGGAAGTGTCGGCCATATTCCGCACACAAGCACACAGGCACACACGCACAACCAACCTAAATAGGCCCACGTCGCACACACACAAATTATGTGTCCTGGCCAAGTAGATTTTTATGTAATGTCGGTCGGTTATTGCTTCCATTCATTTATTTTATTTCATTTACTCAAACCCCACAGAAAAACGCCCGAACGGGCGAAATTAATATTTTTGAGTCTCCCTGCCTTGTATACCCTACCACATTTAATAGTTTCGCAAATTAGTTTATTATATAATAACGTGACTGCCCAACTGTTTCTGGTTTAACTTCAGAATCACAAACCATTATATTGTATCTTATTTAATATACACTATTAAAGTAGAATGTCATAAAACGTATCCATTTACGTGGCATTTAATCGCCGACTTTTTTACTTATATAAGCTCAATGTTTTTCTCGTAATGCATTTATAATGATCTGTGAATGTCCATGGAAACTTAATGGAATACAAAAACGTACGACATAAGCTTAATACACATTCAAAGGAGTTTAACTTGTTTTTAAAAGATATAAACTGTTCCCTGTGCGAAAGGAACTCCTCAGTGCCGTCACTTCAGTTATTAAGCTGGAATATTTTTGTCCTGCACTCCATGTCCTGTCATCCGAGTCAGTCAACCGGCCGCCGGCCCATTCAGCCAGCCATTCAGGCAGTCAGACATTTAGCCAGTCTGCCAATGACAGGACCCTCTGCGGCGACGACTGTCGTCCATCAGAGCCGTGCGTCAGTTGATCACGTTGCCGTTCCACGTGCCGATGACAGGGCCGCCGGAATGCCGAAATGACAGTAAGCCGGAATGCCAGAATGCCATAATGCCAGAATGCCGGACGGAGTGGCACAACCCCACAAACTCCGTGGCCATCCGCCCACGGGCATGTTCTGTGGCTCCTGCGTGTAATTGCCGTTGTAATGTCGCCCGACGCGAATATAATTGCTAAAATGTTGCATAAACCGACAGACGTGCGAATGGCCAATGCCCAGGATTCTGCCTCCGACTCCGACTCCGACTCCGCAGCTGGCTGTCCCCTCCTCCGACTGCGGATCAGAGTCCAGGTCGCGGCGACGACACTTTTCCATTTGAATTTAATTTTAATTTACGCCAACGGCCGGCGCTTCTGCTGCTCGTGATGCCCATTGCCATTTTCCGGAAATTGGCAACGGCAATGGCCAGAACATTCCGCATTCCGGACGTGGCCCCTGGCTTTTGGCCCGGTAGTTGAATGTACACAAGGAGAAAAAACCTGTGCACATATATATTAAATATATCATATTTTTCACTGTCAATTTAATTTATTAAGAGTATTAATAAGGTATTAAGAGTATTTATAATGTATTAAGGTAATATTATTTAGGTACTATTATAACCACTTAATGTCATTTTAAAAAACTTTATCACATATTATTAAATCTTTTTAAAATATAAATTTAGATATATGATATGCATGTGTTTTAGCATAAAGCCTCCTCTTCATTTGCCTCAATTTCCTCCGTGTAAAGATGGAGCTTAGAGTGGCACTGCGGTTCTGGCCACGCTTCTGACCAAATTTGAAAGGGCTGTCCGCACCGTTGAGTTAATGAGAAGAGACAGAGGTCGAGAGGAGAAGAAAAAGGGCGAGAATAAAGGATAGACGGGGCCAAGAGGGAGAAACCCGTCGACAGACATTTTATGTGCAACCGGCCGAATTGTTAGAAGAACAGCCAGTCTAATTGAAGCGAACTCAAGCAATTAGTCGATGAATTGAAGCAACAAAAGTACCAAAGCGGAGAATCATTTAAATTTAGATAAAGTTGAATTGAAAATAAGTCAGATATGACATTATCAGTTGTCTGAGCTTAACTTATATTATGAACCAAGTCCTTGGAAAGCAACCCTCCTTTTATAAGCAGTGTATAAAAGGTATACGAGATATTTAAGTTTATTAACTTACACACAATGTTTTAGTATGAACGTAAAACTAACCAAGCAAAAGAAACTCTTTGAGTTTCGTATTTTTCCCGTCTAAAATGAACCGTATCACTGCTAATGAAAAATGTTTCCCATATTAATTAGTAGCCTAGTTTTCTAGCTACGCACAAACTCCGAATTTTCCATTCCCGCTGATTCAAAGTGGGCAGGCTTTTTATGAAGCCGCCTTAGTCATCGCCATAGGGTCTCCATGTCTGGGGCTATGAGTAATTTTCCGCTGGCAAAAATCGTGGCTCCAAGGGCCGACTCATTAAGTGCTGACCGGGAATTAACAGATAAATAAAAATAATAAAGAAATAAAGATAATGCATGAGAAAGATGACGCCGAGAGCGATTTAATGAAAACAATTTTCCAAATTTGGCAAAACTATTAACCACGCTACGTTAATTTCATTAGCAAGTCTGTCTTTCTTGTTTCGGTGACCGTATTTTAGCCACATATAACAAAAAGTACATATACATGGCAGCCATTAAATGCGCTAATTAGTTGGTCAATTAGCGTATGCTTACTGGATTGTTTTTGGCGCTTTGTTTGTTGGTCCAAAGAGGTTGGCTTTTTGGGTGGCGGAGGGTCAAAATCACAGTCACCATCGCATTTTGGACGTCAGCGGGCTCGATCGCCCAACTGTCGCCACAATAATAAATCAGTTTAATTTAATTCAGCTGACAGCTTTAAGTCAATATTGTTGATAAATTGTTTTCTTTTTATTTCGGTTTTGGTAACCTGCAGCTGTTGCCAAGGGCCAAATGAACACCTCACCGTTCATTAACAGCATTTCATTTTTGTTAATTAGCTCACTTTGTCCATAATTCTTGTGCACACTGGACGCGTTTCCCAGGTTCAGGTTTTTCAATGGAAAATTAATCGAAACCCCATTGTGTTAATAATTCATACGCGGCATATGAAAATTTTCTGTATGCTCATTTGAATTACATTTGCTACAGAAGACAGGAGAACACAGAGAAAAAATTGGTTGCATTTTTAAACATGCAATTATGCTGCATTTATTTTTTACGATGCGGTTTCAGCTGAGATGGAGCTGCAAAAAAAACTACATTTCCTCGGATTTTCTAATCTCGTCTAGGACATCGCTCCAGGACATGAAGGAATCCTGATCATCCTGGCATTCACTCTCCACCTTCTCCGATTCAGCATTCTCGAATTCGGCTAGCTTCTGAAGACGAAGTTCCATACGGCTTTCCACTTCCTCGGTACTACTTGGTATCCGCTTAATAGGATTCTCCCTGCCGAAAAGGGACGACTCACTTTCCGGAAGGAATGGCGACTTATCCGCTGAGATTGGCGAATCGATGGTACTGAGATCACTGACACTGGCCGAATAATGGGAAGAGTTTATATCAAATTGGCTGCACGAACGTCTAGTGAAATAGCCATCTCCAGCCTCCTTTCTTGGTGGTTCGGGAGGCAATTGGCTTACTTTGGTCATGAGACAACGACCACGGCACTTGAGCTTATCCATTTTCAGCAAACGAATGAGATCCTCCCGGGAATCCATTTCCACATAGGCAAATCCCTTGGGTCGCTTTCCCTTCTTCGGAATGGTCAGAGAACGGATCGGAAAACTGGTGAACACTTTCTGCAACTCGCCTTCAGTGCACTCCATTGGCAAATTGCTGACCAGTGCAACAAATGGTGGCTCCATTGGCACCTCCTTTTCCGGATCGGGTGCACTGACCTTCTTCTGTAGATCTGAATTCGATTTTTTGGTCCCATCGCCGTACAGGAAGAGCTCTGCATTCTGCGCCTTGGAAGTTCGCACCATTGTAATGTGCAACATGTTCTCCAATCCATGCCCCGATTCGCTGCCGGAAATCGAGGACACGGAAGAGGAGCTGGCTGGAGGCAACTTGAAACTACGCGACGACTTGGACATCTTGGCCAACAGCACCAAGTAAAGAAAATATGTATTTTTGATTCGATGAAAACGGGTCTGTATTTTCCTTGAAGACTGAATGTTTTCTGATATAAAAAGCAAAGCCGCCCTTTTGGCACAAACATTTTACATGTTTGTCCTTAAATATTTCTCAAGATAAACCTTATTGGATTAGGACAACTGTCTTAGTGAAACTTTCTGTTTATAAAAAGCATATATTTCTGAAAGACATCTATTTAAATTAGAAGCCTAATAAACTCGAATTAAAATAAAGCAACTTAATTATATAGCCACTTTTCTATTAAGCAATAATAACAAAACAGATGGTTTCGCCTGCTTTTATTGATTCATCAATTTACAAAATAAAGATGTGGCTCACATCCTAGTAAAGTCATGATCATTATCCGTCAGGCACGATACTTTGTACTTCGACTATTCATCGATTTATTCAGCAATAGTTCCCTTCTTGAATATAAACTGCACTTTTCGTATTCTGTCAATGCAATCTTGCATTGGTGGACCAGCCAAACGGCTAGATTGAATATTCCCAGGCTGCGGATCGTATTCAGTGCAGCACCTGCTCCGCAGATTCAGTTATACATATATCGACCATAGACCAGGCAAATGCCAAGGTTCGCGGATCCCAACTGACAACTATCGGAGTTGGTTGGAAAATATCAAAAGTTCAGCAAACAAGTGGCATGGAGTTGGAGTCGGAGTCGGAGTTTGAGTTTGGCTAATGCACGGATTGTGTCGTTTTCTGTTTGCTGTTTGTTAGTTTGGTCGGTTTGGTCGGTTTGGTCGGTTTGGTTGGTTTGGTTGGTTCGGTTGGTTTGCTGGGTTGGGTTGGGCTGAAACGCGAGGATGGAAGGAGGTTTCCACATTAGGCAACTGGCAAAGGGCTACACCCATATTCCGTGGAAAATTGGGTGCGTTAGCCAAACACAAACTAAGGTAAACTGATAAAAATCATGGCCTGCAGCATGAGTGCCAGTACGAGTGCCATGGGCCTTCGGGCCAAGTAACCCAGCCAGCCAAGTGCGAGTGGCCCAGGGGCCTCGAACCACACTCGTAGTACGTGTCTGGGACCGGGTATTACCAGCAGACAACGGACAGGCTAAAATATTAGGCCAATTATATTTCAAAAATTTACATGACGATGAAGTTGACGATGGCTGGGTCATCTATAATCCAAGCCATAGACGGGGTGCCCCCTGAATGGAATGCACAGTCAGAAACTTGGTTGTATCGCAAGCCGCAACACTTTGAAATATCCAGCCTTGCAGCTCCTTAAGCATTCCCTTTATTTTATTTACTATAGTCTATTATTAGTACTTTATTCAATAGAAGTGCCTGCTCTTTCCCACACATTTCTTTCCAGTGCAAGTACAGTGTGTACACGAAGGAAGCGTCAAGTGGCCTCCGCCTCCACGTTTTTTCCACACTATCTTGATGCTCTCACCATGGAACGTGCACGGGCATAAGTATGGTGTCTGGAGAGCTACTCGTATCTGGGCACTAGGATCGCCTCCAGCTACACGGAATTTTCTTTTCCATTCGCTTAATTTCATAGGAACAGTCCGCAACTGAATGAAATGCGGCAAAGGTGCAGCGAAGGTAATTAATTTCGAGGATTAGGCATTAGATTTTGGCGATACCAACGTGTCCCATAATTCTCATATCGAGGGGCCAGACGAACACGTTCGTAGACCTATTTATCTACAAGCCATCTTAACTCTACGTCTTCTTTGTGGGTCACCAGAGGGCAAGACATCGAAATTAATAATTGAATAGGGTTGAGTTGGATTAGGTGTAAAAAACTGGGATTGGAGGTGCATATTAAATTAGGTTGAGTACCAGGAATGGGAAAAGAATGTCATATTTTAAACATAACTTATATGGAAGCATAGCATAGCGAATAACAACACAATTACTAGCCTTAAATGAAACTTTACAATAAGTAAGTAATTACTCGTCGCCTTTTTTAAAGTGCTAATTGGTTTCGGTCTACATCAACGTCGAAATCGTGATTCCCTTCAAACATAAGTCAAAACAAAAATCGTAATTTCTTGATTGTACTCGGTAATTGATGCCATTCAAATAAACGGGAAATATTAAAACCAACAAACCACTAATTATAATACCTAATCAGCGCTTTCTTTCACCTCTATTTATTTATTTTGAGGGCAACAAACTACCCCAAAAATACCCCAAAATTCAGTCGATCCAAGCCAAAGCCAAAACCAAAACCAAAGCCAAAGCCAAATCCAAAAACCAATGCAAAGCACACACACACGAAAAGTGTTCCACATGACAGCGCGAATAATTTGTCACCAATTGATGGAAAGCTGAAGAAGGGGCGGTACCAAAATGAAAACCGTCATCAGGTAAATGCAATTAGCCCCCTACTCGGTTTTTGATTGATGTATTTCGAATGAGCTGCGCCAGGAAAATTAATTAGCTTTAAATTATGTAGGTAGCCCAGAAAATGGAGAACCGGTGGCCTGGCACACCCAAAATCGTTCCCGGTTCTATTCCGAGCTTCAAATAAGCTCGAGCACCTTATTAATTAATCAATTGGCTTCGGCAAATTGTCTGGATAGAAGCAATTATCATGATTTGGTTAAATGCAGCTTTTGGTTAGCTGGGAAGTGTTCAGTACGGGGTTCAACAATGTGGATAGCTAATTGTTTGTTTAGCCTCCTGCTCCCCTTTAAATATTTAAGTTGCTATGCTAGGCTTTAAAAATACTATCTAATCGATATTATGCCATGAAAATCAAAACACAGTGTGTTTTTACATGGGAGTAATATGGTACTGCTTAAAAACATACCGCTTAAGGTGGAGATATTAAGCCCATTGAAGTAGAAATAAAATGATTTTAAGAATCTATCATTGGTAATTTATTTTGCAGGACGAAGACTCTTCCTAAAAAGTTTGAATGAAGGCAATTTATTCCTGTGGAAAAACCCAACCATCCCATGGCATTCGATTTCCACCCCCATTTTATAATCTTTATGACTATCTCATTTGTGCCGAAATCATTGCATAGATGACTTCTCCGGCCTCGAAATCCGGGGAATCAGAAGTCGCTCCACCGAGCTGCGTCCAAATTGACAAATGCACGGCCTGAGCAGGCCTGAAATGTGAAATTTATCAATCGGAGGGTTTTTCACGACGGTTCAGGTCCGCAGTGAACCGAGCACCGGGAAATAATATGACTTTAGCCACGGTTATCAATAACCAGGCATCGATATCTTATGAAAATTGATACGCCGCACACACACAGCGGGGCGGAAAATAAAAATAAATAATAATGGCCATTATTACAGTTTATCCCATGGCGAATAGTTAGTTTCGCCCACTCGCCCCGTTTGGTTAGCCAAGGATTCCACGAGTCCTCTGGCCAATGCCACTCATAAGCGAACTAATCCGTCAAAATTTATTGCCCACCACCGTGGGGAGCCACTGCCGACTGCCAATTGATAACGTGCGTGTGAAATTTATCAAATAAATTGAGGCCATAAATGTCAAAGCCGCGCATGATTCATGCACAGACAATCGCAGCTAGCCAGGGAATCCCTTATTAGCCAGCTTCCTTCCACTCGAGTCGAGGAGTTTGGGGTCCAGTCAGAAGTCAATCCCACTTTGGATTAGCTGACAAATTTTGCTCATTTCCCCATTTCCAAGTGGCGCCCTCTTCTCCCCTCACGAGCTTATTATTAAACACCCATCATGTGGTAAGCTGCGCACTGCGACGGGAATTTTAATTAATTTTTTATATTATCTGGCTTATTTGTACGATTTAAGTTAATTGCAATAAAATACGTATGTTTTTCGTGCATTAATTTGTTAATTTTATTTGAAAGCAACTATTTGTTTGCGATTAAAACCATACTTTGCATAAACTTCGCTTTGATCAGCTCGTTTGCAGACAGTCGGGCAGGGGTCAATCATTAAATTACTGGCAAACGAATCTGTGCGGTTTCGAAGTGGAACCGTTTTCTGCCTTTGCACATTTATTAAAAACCCATCAAACGTTAAGCCCCCAAATTACGATTTGCATTCAGCATTCAGCTGGCGAAATTTCACCCACTTCCTTTCCCACCTCCATGCCCCATGCCCCAATCCCATTTCCATTTCCATTCCGATTTCCATACCGATTCCCACTCCCACTATTACGCGGCGTAATCAGAAAGCGTAGAGAACCGGAGTTTGGATCTGGGTGTTAGGTTTGGGATTCGGATTCGGATTCCGATTCGGATTCGGATGGAGCTCCAGTTGGAGTTCGAGTTGCGAGTTCCAGTTCAGTTCCGCGTGGCCATCATTATTCAGAATTTAGTTTACTTTTTGCAGCTCTGCCGTTTTGTCTGACTCCGACTCTGATTGCATATGAAAGAGGTGAATCCTTTTTCACGCTATTATTAAATTTGGTTATTTCGCTGGGATTTGGCGCGGGCGAGGTGAAGGCCCCGCGATTCGGGTAATGACAATGCATGATGGCACGCCCTGATGGAGTACAAATTGGACGAGGCCACACTGCGAGAAAATGCTGGCTACAATGCTGTGCATTCAGTCAAGTTTTTTGTAGTTTTAGGTGGTAGTATTATATTAACAAGTTTTTTTATCATCACTAATCCAAATTAAATTCAATCATGCATAAATCAGCGGAATAAATCAGTTAAAATTGCTGAAGCTCAAAGTAGCGGATCGTTCTTATAATATAGTAATTATCCTTTCTATGGACAACCCTCATATGGTGCTAATTTCCATTTATAATTCTATTTCTAGTTCCATTTCACGCATTCTTTTTTATTTCTATTTATCTCCAGGGCCACCCGTATAACATACGTATAAGCATACAATTCCAGTCCCAACAAAACTTAAACGGCACAAGAAATCGCCGCAAATCGCAGAGCAAACACTGGCAATCGGTGTAAACTAAAAACCGCTTCCAACTTTGACATAATAAATAGCCGGCAATGTGAGGGGAGTGAGTGGGGGATTGGGGCTCTTAATAAAAGTCAATTGGCAACCCACAAGCCCACCCCCCTCTATGTTCCTCCAGATTTGTCCTTGCTGGACAGCCATTTGAAATTTTAATAAAAAGTCCTTTTATCGCACTTAGAAGGCCATTTAGTAAGCTAAATTATACCCAGTATTATCCGGACCAGGATCCTTCCGCCCCTCCAGCGTCCCAGAGAATCTCAATCCCAATCCCAATCCCAATCCCAATACCGAAACCCGAAATCGTAGTCAAATTGGCCATGTTAAACCGCACAGCAGTTTGGCCCTTGTTGTTGTTGACCCGACTTATCTCTTTTTGGCCAAAACGAAACGGAGCCGCACCGGCAAACGTAAACTTGCCGCAAATTGGCCAACTTGCCGCTGTTGTTGCCGCTCCTGCTGCATAAGTCCAATTTATTTTTGGTTTTTTACTTCAAAGCGAAGACAAAAAGGCAGCAAAACCAAATCGAATTAAGCTTAAATCTACATAAGCTTTTTCTCTCTGTGTGCCGGTGGATGTGCGGCCCAGTAGTTGGGCATCTACAGTGGTGCAAGTTCGCCAGGACCGCTGTTCTAAGTGAACTATGTTAGACATATATGTATTTTGGATACTCACTAATATACAAAATATATACAAATTATATATAATCATAAGTATTACGGTATTTAATAACACTATTTAGTTTAAGCATTGATTCAGTGGTATACAGTGGTATAAAATCGTATAAATTTTCATTTTTTAAATGTATAAAATATATTTGACGCACATCATTTAATGGGTATTCTTCGACCCACTGTGCCCCAAGTTTCCTGATTGTTCCTCTGCCTTTCGGTCCATTTGGTTGCTGTTGTTGCTGTTGCTGTTGTTGCTGGGGAATGAATTACATTTCTCTTTGCATTTTGGCTTGTTGCTGTTGTTGTTGCTGCTGCTGTCGGTCGGTATTTTCCATTTTTATTTCGGTTTTCCTCTTTTTTTTCTAAATGCTAATTTATGGGCATGTGTTGCCATTTGGTTGCCGTTGGGTAATTTCAGTGCCCACCAAAACACAGAACACACAAAACACACAGCAACATCGCCACAGAAACAGAAACACAAACAGAAACACAAAACCGAAACAGGAAATGCAGCAAGCGAAATAAAAAGTGAAGTAAATTGCATATTTATGAATCTGTCAATTGTTTATACTTTTATG